TGTGAGTGTGAGTGTGTGTGTGTGTGTGTGTGTGTGTGTGTGTGTGAGTGTGTGTGTGTGTGTGTGTCTGTTTCTGTGTGTCTGTGTCTGTGTGTCTGTGTGTGTCTGTTTGCATGTGAGTTTGTGTGTAATTGGTATTTCTTACATCATGGGGACCAAATAGTAATACCAGTCATTTTTGTGTAGGGACATTTTTTTTTTGGTCCTCATGAGGAAAACAGCTTATAAATCATGCAATCATCTAAAAATGCAGAAAGTTTTGTGTGAGGAGTAGGTTTAGGGGTAGGGTTAGGGTAAGCGGATAGAAAATAAAGTTTGTACAGTGTAAAAATCATGTCTATGGAAAGTACTCATAAAACACAAAAACCTAATGTATGTGTGTGTTTGCTTCAGACTGATATACAAGTATGTCTGTGTGAAGTCAACTGAATTTTGGCATGATCAGATTACAGTGTAGTTGTTTCCTCTTTTTAGGGTCTTGTTAAGCAATTGTCTGTTGGCACTTTTGTCTGGATTGGTCTGACTGACAGTGATGTGGAGGGCAGATGGAAATGGGTTGATGGCAGCATACTGACCTCTGGGTGAGAAATCAATGGATTGAACTGATTATTATCTAATAAATAATTCTCATAGTCAACATTATATCACACAGAAAGCAGCACTGAACATCTAACGCTGATCTATATTTTCAGCTTCTGGGGGTCTGGAGAGCCCAATGGACACAGAGGAGAAAACTGTGTTGTGTCTTATGCATCATGGTGGTATGATTATCCATGTAATAATGCTTTTAAGTGGATCTGTGAGAAGAACATTTTAAAATGAGTTATAAATCACATTTTTTATGTTGTAAATTATGAAGAGACAAAAAGGGTTTTCTCTCTTGTCTCTTATATACACTCATTAGATGTATTTTGCAGTAAACCTATATTCAAAACAAAAAGATACGCTAAATAAATCTGTTCTATTAATACACTTTATTTGTATTTAATCATTATTTTGATCTGTGTTTCAGTGTATGTATCTGATGTTACCATTACTGTGACTAATATAGAGGAAGTAGGATGCTGTGATCATTTTACATTTAACCCTTTAGCAGATGCTTATGTCAACTGAGGGAAAGCACAAGTCCAATCATTGGGGACACACACATAATTTTTTTTTCCAGACCCTACAAGTAAATTTTAAAGAGCAACTGTTGAAATAGTTTGCAGGTGTTTGGCTGCATCTGTGTTATTGATGAGAATATAGAGACACATTTTGAAATTCATGTCTGTAGTTGTCGGGAAGTGACTCTGAAAGATGGTGCTGCACATAGGCCTACATCTTTTTTATTTCAGCCACTTCCTTCTGTAGCTGCATCAATATTTCCATCCACTCTGCCTCTCTTTGAGCGGAAACTTGATATTTAACACTTTAGCCAGTGCTGTGTGGTCCATCACATCTGAGATGCTTCAGTGTGCACTTTATTCACTTTAACCCCTTCACCACATTGCATTCTGCAGATTTGCTCTTTCTAAATATTGTAATGTTTCACCAAGACAACCCTACAATTTTAGCAGCATCTGCAGCCTCACACTAGAAAGAACAGACTAATGTTAGCGCTAGACTAATGGCTAAATCTGGCTAATATTCACTTCCTAGACATTTCCTATGGCTTTGCTTGAGGCAGCAGAACTTTAGGGAAAGTGCAATGCTTATTTCTACAGAGACATGACCTGATACCTGCTGTCATCTCCGACTAATGCTAATGCTAATATTGCACTAGGACATCCTGACATATGCATGCACAAATATGCTGTGCTAGACGTGTTATTTGAGGAAATGTCTCTTAATGACAGACATCACTTATTAGTTTAATTTCCTCTAAATGTTTTCCTTAATGCTGAGTTCACACTGCACAATTTTTTAAAGTCGTTGGATCACCGTTGTTTTCAGACTGTATCTGGGGTAGCATTCAGTTGCTGCTGTGTTCATACTGCACGATGGATCGGCGACAGGAGGTTACACACTGCATGAATTTTCAATAGGAAGAATCGCCGACAACTCTCCCTGCGTTACATTCGGAAGGGCTCATCCCTACACCCTATTCCCTTCAAAGGGTTTACCCTCCGGAGGGAGAGCTTCGAAGGAATGAAGGGTGTATGCAGGGCCGTTTCTAGGCATAGGCGAGCTAGGCGGTCGCCTAGGGCGCCACCAGCTGAAGGGGCGCCAATGAGCGCACGTACTGGCACTTTTAGCAGGGGACACTTTAAATCAATGTTTCAAGAAACAACAACAAAAAAATTGAACAAAAAACAGATTAAAAAAGTAGCCATTGATAATATCTAAACAATATGTAGTAGTATAGTATATAGTATCCAAATCAAAATGTAATAACATTTATTTATGTGTGATTTATGTGTAAATTATGTGCAATGTCTTCGCCACTAGGGATTGTTACATAGGGCTATACAGGCATCTAGTGGCAACACAATGATATTACAGATACTAAATTGTGCAAAATGTTTATCTTAACAGTCAATTTACAAATAATGCATTCAGATTTGTGAAACTCAATGCACTGAATCTCCACAAACTAGTGTCATTACTATGACAACCAATTTGAATGTGACAAGCAACTGGTGCCTGAAAAGAATTATATATATATATAATTTATAGTAATGTATATTGTGTATGTATTTGAAACATTTGAATGGACTGATAAAGGTAGCTGTGTATTTGAAGTAATGTACCAAATCTAACTCGTATAAATATTACAGTAGTATTGAAAAATACTAAACATACATTTATAGGTGAAGTTGAACTTTGTGACACCAAACAACTTCCCTGTGCAAAGGATCATGGGGACCCGAAGTGTCCATCAGTTGTACCCTTAGAAATCCTTCATTCCGAAGGGCCCTTTGAAGTGGCCAGTTTTGAGCACTTTGGTTTGGCATGACCCTTCAATATGGTGGCCATAACTGTTTTCACTCCGAAGTGCCCTTCAGAGGGCGATATATCCCGTTTGGAACGCACCGATAGTCTGGTCTGCAAACTACGTTTCACAACCAAATGCCCGCGAGAAGTGATAAGGATATAACTCCTCCCCGAACTTCCCGCTTCCCTCTATCTTGCTCTCTCATTGACTGTAGGTCATCGCTGATGTATTTTTCAGGCAGAACTCATTTCACACAGCAGGATTTTGAATCACCGACAGGTCTAGATATTTAGCATGCCAAATATTTCACAAGCATCAAGCGATTCGCTCAGATCGTGTCTTTGATAATTCACACTGTGTGATTGTCACTCCTGTTAAACGAGCACCGATTTCCCTCCGATTTCGGCATCTGTCTGCGATTTCGTAAAAACTGTCTGTGAGTGAAAATCGGGGCTACAATCATGCAGTGTGAACTCGGCATTAACCCTTTGACGCGTACGATCACACCGGTGTGATCAGTCTTGGCTGGTCCCTGAAGCGTACGATCACACCGGTGTGATCAGTCTTGGCTGGTCCCTGAAGCGTACGATCACACCGGTGTGATCAGTCTTGGCTGGTCCCTGAAGCGTACGATCACACCGGTGTGATCAGTCTTGGCTGGTCCCTGAAGCGTACGATCACACCGGTGTGATCAGTCTTGGCTGGTCCCTGAAGCGTACGATCACACCGGTGTGATCAGTCTTGGCTGGTCCCTGAAGCGTACGATCACACCGGTGTGATCAGTCTTGGCTGGTCCCTGAAGCGTACGATCACACCGGTGTGATCAGTCTTGGCTGGTCCCTGAAGCGTACGATCACACCGGTGTGATCAGTCTTGGCTGGTCCCTGAAGCGTACGATCACACCGGTGTGATCAGTCTTGGCTGGTCCCTGAAGCGTACGATCACACCGGTGTGATCAGTCTTGGCTGGTCCCTGAAGCGTACGATCACACCGGTGTGATCAGTCTTGGCTGGTCCCTGAAGCGTACGATCACACCGGTGTGATCAGTCTTGGCTGGTCCCTGAAGCGTACGATCACACCGGTGTGATCAGTCTTGGCTGGTCCCTGAAGCGTACGATCACACCGGTGTGATCAGTCTTGGCTGGTCCCTGAAGCGTACGATCACACCGGTGTGATCAGTCTTGGCTGGTCCCTGAAGCGTACGATCACACCGGTGTGATCAGTCTTGGCTGGTCCCTGAAGCGTACGATCACACCGGTGTGATCAGTCTTGGCTGGTCCCTGAAGCGTCGGCCGTCGCCATCTTGGCAGCGCGTCACCGCGCGTCACTCCCCGATAATCGAAAATGGGCAAAAAGGCGGGAGCTGGTTGCTGAAGCCACGCCCACCTAGCTCGACGGTGGTGACGGCAGCGGCAATCCACCTGTCACTCAAGTGACTTTAACTGTCACTTAAAGTTTACTCAAAAGTAAACTTTAAGGCTTAATATAATTTAAACGGATGAGTTATAAAAAAATTCACCCCCCTCACAGTTGTCATGAAGGGCAAAATTAGCTATATAGACCAAAATCATTTTTTGAACCAGGCTGTAAACATGTTTTTTTCTGCTGTAAAATAGGGCATTTTAACATGGGGAGTCTCTGGGATTGACTCCCTTTTGCAGCCAGCCTCTAGCGGCCAGTTGACGAATTACAGTTTAAGTAACTTCCGTGTTGGCTTCAAGAGAGAGAGAGCGGGAGGTTGCCGCTCGAAGCATGACGCGTCGCCATGGAAACAATAAGGTGATACATTTTAAAATAACGGTCGCCTAAAAAAAACTCAAGCTGGGGGCCCAGCTAGAATATTTTAAACTCACGTGCGAAGTGCACTCTTAAAGGCACAGTAATATCAGTACCTTATGCTCATCGTATCAACCCGGGACAGAAAAAAAAAAAAACTTTGTTTCCTGGTTACTCCACTGAAACTCGGAAGATGATGACATTCTATAATTAGAAGTATTGTCTGTTATCCGGGTATGAAAAAGATTAATAGCCAACTAGGCCAGCCATGCTTATCACCATCACTACCTAATTGTCATGCTATGCTGTTGAGGGGAACACGCTGGAGTCACGAGGAAACGTTTAACAGTCTTTAATCACAAAACACAGGCGATAATCCACAATAGGAGCTTGAGCCAACACACGTAGAGAACGAGTAGACCTGACCAACACCAACTGAACAGACTAGGACTTTTATACAGGGGATGATTGGGGAACACAGGTGACATCAATGGAACATAATCAAACTAAACGAGGACAGGAACATGACCAAATAAGGCAAAACAGGAACTGAAACACATGACAAAACAGGTCCAATCCTGACATTTCGCTCCCTCCCGGAAGGTGCGTCCTCGCACCTTAGGCAACAACAGAGGGAGGCATAGGTGGGAGCTAGGGAGGATGCTCAGGAGGAGGACGGACACCCGGGAGGGGACCGGAAGACAGAGACCAGGGAGGCAACGAAGGAGGGTGGAGCCAGGGAGGAGACAGGAGGGCTGTGGTCTGGGTCCTGCTTGGCTCCTCTTGCTCCGGGCCTTTTCTACTACTTTTAAACACGCACTCACAAACTTTCCTAAGCACTTCCCCTCGGGGGAATACCCGCTGCCATTTTGAAGTGCATTCCACTTCGTGAAGTGAAGCAGGGAAGTTTATATGGACAGACCCTCGAGTCTCGACCCCTCGATTTTGACAGAGGGAGCGAGTCTGCATAATATGCACACTTCAGGCCACTCCACAGACCACAATGCAATAAAAGTGGAGTGGAACGCAGCCTTGTATAAATAGCCATGCCCTTCTTTAAATATTTTGCAAAGTATTGCCAGTCATTTTCACTTCCTTACTGAGCGGTCTTTTGTTTTTTCTTCTCCATTGCCTGTTTCATTGCCTTCCTTTTATGACCATTGTGCCTGCCTTGTTGACTAAGTTTCTACTTTTCTACTACGATTTGTTTGCTGGATTTAAACTTCCTGCATTTGGATTCTACCTTCGCCTCCATGTAGAATTCCTCACAGATAAAGTGTGAATGGTTTTCAGTGTGATTATACAGTATAAATATAATTATTCCTTTAATGCTAATAAACCTATAGACATGTGGGGGGAAAATAACTCTGCATGTCACACTGTTCACACTTTGCCTTCCACTTTGTTTTAACTCGTGTTAGGGAAAAAAATAGTAGAGCCGCTACACAGACCAATACAGGAACAACATTCAGCATTAAAAAAGGTGCAATTTGTCTGTGACTAAATAAAAATCAATCAGTTAATTATTAATATAGGCCTAACATTTTAACTAAAAAAAATAATGTATAAACTATTTCATGAAAACTTTGTCAGGTCATGTATGAGGTTCCATTTCAGCTGGATGCTGCCAGTAGACAGCAGGGCAACTCACTAGGTTCTGAAACACAAATAGTAGCATTAGTAGTACTTTTTACATGACTAAGAGAAGTGGGATTGGAGTGGCATGTCATTCTCCAAACCTAAACAAATGCAAAATAGACTATAACAACATCAGTTCGAACAGTGCTTGTTCACGTTACCAAAAGCAACTACTATTGTTCTCAACCAATGTGTTTGTTATACAAAGAGTGCAATTTTGGTAAAGGAGTATATGAAAAAAAATAACTTCTCATAATAAACTGCAATAAATGAGTACAAGAAAAAATAATTTTTAGCAATACTCAACAAAAGTAACCTAAGAAGATATCACATGTTCTTGGCCACAGTGGTGCATTTAAAAAGAAAAAGCTCAAAAGCAGAAGTTCAGAGCAGTGCGGACCACATGAAGCAGTAACTTCGAATAATTTCACATTTAACTCCAGCAGACTGAATATGTCTTATTATGGCAATATGAACATTCCTGGGACACATGGGATGGGTGAAGATGAAGAGGAGATGAATATCTATGCTAATGCAGATGCTCATGATGCCAGGACAGAAAAAGAGAACTCCGACGCCAAGAGACACCAAACACCTCGACACATAGGTACTGAGACTCATTTCATTATAACAACTAATACACACATTTTAGTCATTATAGTGTTAAGAAATATTTATCTTCATATCGGTCATCTTCAGGAAGTTTCAGAGCAGCTGCAGTGTGTTTGGTGCTGCTGTGTGTTCTTTTGCTGGCTGCAGTCATAGTGCTGGGTGTCCACATCCATACAAAGAACACAAACTATACAGAAGAGAGAGTCCGGCTACTAACCAGGAATACCAACCTCACAGAAGAGAGAGACCAGCTACTAACCACAATCAAAGCTCTTAAAGACCAATTAGCAATCAATAACCAAGACTTTACAGCTGAAAAGAAAGAATTATTATCCAAAAATGACAATCTAATGAAACAAAGTCAACAGTTAAATCAAGAGAACAATGACCTGCGGAAACGTCTTGGTGAAATGGGTAATCATGACCACATCTATACAAACATTCAACATTAACAACGTGTCGTATACTGTACAATCTTGGGTACAAACTGTTATAAACAAGTTGTGTAGTGTGGAAGAGAATGAAGAGTTAATAGTTGAACTATTTTTGTTTACAGATCAATCCTGTCTTTACTATTTTTCTTCTGAGAAGAAGAGCTGGACTGAGAGCAGAAAATACTGTAGAGAGAGAGGAGCAGATCTGATCATCATAAACAACAGAGAGGAACAAGTGAGTGAAAGATATTGTGTGTGTTTGCTTCAGATGGATAAACATTTGCTGTATATGTAAAGTCAGCTGAATTTTGTCCTTATCAGAATTTCATCTTTTCAGGAATTTGTTAGGAAATGGTTTGATAATAATAGAGTCTGGATTGGTCTAACTGACAGTGATGAAGAGGGCACATGGAAATGGGTTGATGGCAGCATACTGACCTCTGGGTGAGAAATCAATGGATTGAACTGATCATTGTGTAATAAATGATTTTCACAGTCAGTGTCAGAAAGCAGAACTGAACATCTAATGCTGATCTGCTGATGCAGGTTCTGGATGTTTGGTGAGCCCAGTGGACATAGAAGAGAGAACTGCGCTCTAACAGTTGTAGGAGAATGGGCTGATCATCCATGTACAGAGGAATATAATTGGGTGTGTGAGAAGAGAAAAACGTAAGCCACTGAACAGGGGTGTTGCTAGTGACAGAGTGCATGGGGCCTATAAACCACCCCCCATTTGCTTAGTATGGCAGTGTTTATATGACTATTTGAAATATACATATGAAAGGGAGTTCAAATGTCGTAATCATGACCACATCTATACAAACATTCAACATTAACAACGTGTCGTATACTGTACAATCTTGGGTACAAACTGTTATAAACAAGTTGTGTAGTGTGGAAGAGAATGAAGAGTTAATAGTTGAACTATTTTTGTTTACAGATCAATCCTGTCTTTACTATTTTTCTTCTGAGAAGAAGAGCTGGACTGAGAGCAGAAAATACTGTAGAGAGAGAGGAGCAGATCTGATCATCATAAACAACAGAGAGGAACAAGTGAGTGAAAGATATTGTGTGTGTTTGCTTCAGATGGATAAACATTTGCTGTATATGTAAAGTCAGCTGAATTTTGTCCTTATCAGAATTTCATCTTTTCAGGAATTTGTTAGGAAATGGTTTGATAATAATAGAGTCTGGATTGGTCTAACTGACAGTGATGAAGAGGGCACATGGAAATGGGTTGATGGCAGCATACTGACCTCTGGGTGAGAAATCAATGGATTGAACTGATCATTGTGTAATAAATGATTTTCACAGTCAGTGTCAGAAAGCAGAACTGAACATCTAATGCTGATCTGCTGATGCAGGTTCTGGATGTTTGGTGAGCCCAGTGGACATAGAAGAGAGAACTGCGCTCTAACAGTTGTAGGAGAATGGGCTGATCATCCATGTACAGAGGAATATAATTGGGTGTGTGAGAAGAGAAAAACGTAAGCCACTGAACAGGGGTGTTGCTAGTGACAGAGTGCATGGGGCCTATAAACCATCCCCCATTTGCTTAGTATGGCAGTGTTTATATGACTATTTGAAATATACATATGAAAGGAGTTCAAATGTCAGATACTGTACAATCCAGTTTTGAGCTGCTTTCTTGTTCTATTACCTGCAGCCATACTTTGTTTTGTTTGTCATGGTCACCAACATGAAAATGCAAATGCAAATGCTTCAAAGTGATATTAACCACAACACAATAATCTTGTATTAACTAGTCATCATGTTTGCTTTTGTGAAACCTTTATTCAACCTGCATTACACTAGTTCTCGACAAACCTGGATATATGAGGAAGCCTGATTTTATAGTGTGTGATAAGTGTATTTCTAGACCTGGAAAAGTCATATAAATTAATAAATTATTAAAATACCATGAGCATGTGTATGATGGATATAGATTTTTCTAGTTATGCCAAGCTCTAAAATATTTATTGAGTAGAAATTATGGGTACAATTATTTAAGTACTGCTTATCTGGTAATAACGAATGACTAAAAAAAAGTCAGATTCATTGGATAAAACCAAAAATAATTTAGTAAATGATAAATTAGTTTCAATTTTATTCTTGCTCTGCTTAAACTGACTTCAATTTCATATCATTCTAAAATTTAGACTGACATATTTATCAATTTATTTCTGTTTCTAATTTGGATATTTGATTATTCCAGTATTCTCTTACTCTTCAGTGATTTGTTCATCAGGGATCCAATTTTGTATAGTCTCATGCCGGCTGGTCGGGATCTCAAGGTCACAAAATCGCCAGTCTGATTATCATTAGAGGTTGCAGTGTACAAATAAGTTTTTGGTATAGATCAAGCTATATAATCTAATTAAGTGTTTGTATGTCATCTCACTTGTTCTTATTCTAATTCTAAGGCAGTTGTGGCCTAATGATTAGAGCGTCAGACATGTAACCCGAAGAATCAGATTACAGAGACATGCAGAGCAGCCAAACTAAACAAATCAACATTCAGTGTTATAATGTCTGACTATAAAAGACTAGAGATATCTGAGGTTATTTATGAGAGTGTGAGCAGGGCTGAGCTTCAGGACATGGACAGAGAGACAGTGGAGATGATGCTGGATTTTACAGGTAATCACTTTCACTTCTATGATAAAATGAATAAATAGGTAAAAATATCACAGTTTGCACATGTTCGGTCGTTTCACATGTCTGTGGTGTTCAGGAAATGATTGTGTGAGGAACAGAAACTACAGAGCAGCTGCAGTGTGTTTGGTGCTGCTGTGTGTTCACATCCATACAGAGAACACAAACTACACAACTGAACTGTGGAAATGTCTTCATGAAATGGGTAATCATGAACGATACAAATATACTGACTTTTAGCATTAAAAACAAAATCTATACAGTAATCATATGATAGGGTGACCATACGTGCCATTTTCCCAGGACGCGTCCTGGCCAGGATTTCTATATTGCTTTGATTCAAAGTACCTCGACAGCGTTTCGAAAACACAAGGAACCGATGTCATACACCGATCGGTCTGCACACGCAAACAAAGCCAAACCCTAGATATTTTAGGCAATATAGAAATCCTGGCCAGGACACGTCCTGGGAAAATGGCACGAATGGTCACCCTATCATATGATGGGAATAAAGTGATAATAGTTGAACTGGTTGTGTTTGTAGATAAATGGATTTACTAGCAATCCAATCTTTACTATGTTTCTTCTGAGTGTAAGAGCTGGACTGAGAGCAGACAAAAGACTGTTTGAAGAGAGGATTGGATCTGATCATCATAAACAACAAAGAAGAACAAGTGAGTGAAAGAGAAAAGAGAAAGATCGTAAATGCTTGTACATATACATATACTTGCTATATATATTTCTTAATGTGTTCTCACAAACCATTCAAGAAGATGCTTGTCACTAGTGGAAAAGTTTCATATATGCAAATCATGTCTTGATTAACTGCCCTACAAAGGCACAACACAGAAACTAAACCAATACTAGAACTGAGAAAAATGGCATGAGAATTGCCTTATTGAATTTTGTCCGTTTCTCGGTATGCGTTGTGATGCAATCTTACGTCCATGTGGACATGTTCTGCATCATCATCAACCGCCAAAGTTCAATTTCAATTCTCAAGAATGCAAGTACAGGATGCATAAAATTACATAAAAAGATGCATTCTTAATTCTGAGGATGCATTGAATACAGACTTCACAATCATAGCAGGAAGACAATGTACAAAGTAAATGTTTTAATAGGTTTTGACATTTGATGTTATATTTATTGTGCATTTAGTGGAGCTTTCCTATTATTTAAAATGTGCTGAGTCATTTGAGCAACAAGATCACGGGACATATCTCAGAATGATTCTATGTCCTCGTCCTTTCAAGTTTGCTCCAGTATATGTTTAGCCAGTTTAGCCAAACCTGAGAGCTCAACATTGACAAAAAATAGCTTACTGTGTTCCTTGCATGGAAGAAAGCCTAAAGTGGTAAAGGTGTCTGTAATGGTTAGGGTGTAGTTGTTATTAAATTAAATATTAAACAGCACTGAACATCTAATGCTGATCTGTTGATGCAGGTTCTGGAATCATGGAGAGCCCAATGGATATGAAAAAGAGAACTGTGTTTTCACTCATTTTTCAGGGTGGGTTGATCATTCATGTACTACAGGTTATCAATGGATCTGTGAGAAGAGTTTTTTAAATGACTCATTGAACCATATATTTGTTAATGCAGTTCATTATGGACATACATCAAGTTCAAAGGGATAGTTTACCCAAAAATGAAAATTATTTCATTATTCACTCAACCTGATGTTGTTTTTAAACTCTGTATGCCCTTCTTTCTTTTTCACTGAGAAATTAAAAAAATTGCCCTGCTCGTGCTTGATCATAATAGCAATTAATGTTGACCATCTATTCAAGCTTTGAAAAAAGGATGCAAACGTATTATAAATGATTGATAAAATTAAATATTGTGTTCTGTAACTAAGCATATGATAATTGCTCAGTTTAGAATTTGTCCTATATGCCAATGTTTTTATGGCTATATTCAGTAATATATGAAATATACAAAGTTCAAATATTACTTTCAAGCTGGAGTTGGTGTGTTTTCTCTTAGTTGCTCTACTGTGCTATGCTTGGATTTGTGTTTGATGAAGAGAGAACAGTTTCAAATCAAGATCATCTCTAACATGACAAAGACACCAGATTATGTAACAGACATTGTGTTTTCAGAAAGATCTTTACAATAAAGATCTTTCAACATCTTTGCTGCAGAACTTTTATTCAACTCACATTACGCTAGAGTTTCAATGTGGACGTCACTGTTAACTAAACTTCACAGAGGTGGAGGTTAGAGAAATCGTGGGAAAAGTTTTACATGAGCTAAACCTTGAAGAAGGATAAAAATGGACTTGTCAAACAGCGATAGGAGGAGTGAAGTATCTGCGCGGGTCTTAATGTCAGTAACTTTCTCTCTATTCTCAAGGCCACGATTTTCATCCTTGAAGGTGAAAACTTGAAGATATTCAATAATTCCCATCACACTGTTTTCCAGCAGCGCCAAACATTCAGGTTAGTTGAGGTTTGAAAGATGACAAGTATTTAACAGGGATCAACACAACACACACATTAACAAGTCCTGCTGTTGTGTTGTGCCCACGTTTCAGTTTTTAACCACTCAGGGTGTGATGACATGCTGCATTCATGGTTGCCTGCGATATTTCTTCCCTTTTTTTTTTTTTTTGTCAGAGTAAAATGGACTCAATGGAAAATTTTATATTTATTTCTCATTTACACATCCCAGCCAAGACAGGAAGCTTTTCAGCTGTAATGGAACATAAAGTGCTAAGGAGCCATTCACACAGAACTTGTTTTTATTTTGAAAAATGTGAGATGATCACAGATGTCCATTTACTGCATGAATTACAGTGGAATTAAAAAAAAACCTTGAGATGTACTTTAGGGTTTTTCACACTTGAACTAACCCTGCATCATTGTAAACTGAATACTGTTATCTTGCTGCACGCTTCACACTGCTCATTATTTACCCGGGGTTAAAAATCTATCAATTAGTATTCATAAATGATGTTTCAGACTGTAACCCTGGGATAACCTTCTTATTTGAACATTTGTGCGATGTCAGTGTTAGTGATTGGACAAAAGCACATGTATTAGCCCAAACTCAATTCCTGGAGTGCCGGAGCCCTGAAGAGTTTAGATGCAACCCTAATTAAACACACCTGATCCAACTAATCATGTCCTTCAGGCTTATTTGAAAACTACACGTTATGTGTGTTGGAGCAGGGTTGGGACTAAACTCTGCAGGGCTCCGGCCCTCCAGGAATTGAGTTTGACACCCCTTTATTAGCTTATATTTTGCCAACAGTTTTTCCTGATTTGACTTTTCAGACTGTAAAGGTAAGAATGAAACGCTCTCTTTATCACTTGAGTTGACACATTTTTCTTACCATTTGACATTTTCCCCTTAAATGCTGAAGCAACTGTTTATACAGCAAGTGGTGTTTCTGTAATCCAAAGAAAGTCACATAATCATCTAGCCAAAGCATCTAGTCGTTTCACACTGTACGCGTTTGGCACCGTATTGCGTAATGCAGGGATAACACTTAAGCGGTGCTTATGCTTCTCTGGAGCTGGGTTTCATATTCCTGAATAAACAGCGGTGCTAACCCCTCTTCTAAATTACTCGTGTGAAACATTCCTTTACCCGGGGCTAAAAACAGAATTTAGAGAGACCTATTAAAGGTCCTATGAAAAGTCCTATTAAATGTGTAACTGTAAGAATGATTCATTTGGATTTATTGGGGTTATTATTATGATGATTCATAAAATTTAATTATTATAGCGTTTTAAAATACGTTTTTTTGTGTTAATGTATATGATAAATATATTAAATCAGGAAAATGAGGAAACCTGCCTATGAGGTATCATTCTCTTATTTGAAAGTGCAATAATTCTGATTAAATGTAAAAAGAAATTTCTCAAATGAGAACAGTTATGAATAATAATAATAATAATAATAATAATTGTGATTATCAGTTTAACCATTATCATGCAGCACTACTCACAGGTAATTTATGCTATCATAAATAAAGGTAAAAAAGATTAAATATTTTTACATAAATTCAAACTGCCAAAAGCGTCAAGTATCTTCATAATTAAAAATACATGTGTTTTTTGTAGTGGACAGCATACAATAAGTAGTTTATTTGGATGTATTTTTTTTTCTATTTAAAATAATAATATTATTATAAATAATAATGTGTAATTAATGTAAAAAAAAATTACTACTACTAATAAGAATACTATTTTTACAATTATATTTTAATTAAACATATTATGTAACATTACAGTATTTTCTGTAAAATTACTTTTATATTTTGTAGAAATAGAGCAATATGGAGCATAAACACACCCGTCAAGCTGTTTAGAGAGATTGTTTTTTTCTGATGGGGTTTGGAGAGAGTACCATTAGCTGAATGGACTTCAGTGTCACATCAACAGACGAAAACCTCAGGCAGAATAGCAAGCTGGAATGCTAGAAGGTTCCCATGGAAACTGTGGAGCATGGAATATTTCTCGGGAAGTCTCAGAACATTTCATATTCCGGTTCTCTCTCCTGGCAGATGAGAAGACCTTTGATCATCTATAATGGTCTGATGCGGCGTGTGCGCTAGAATATAGTCAAGAACTTATATAATACATTTGTGTTACTGCTGCTAAGTAAGCCATTTGTACACACTGCAACACAGCAAGTATGTTTTCAACACAAAAGTTCCCAAATGGTGGTCGCCAAAAATGTGCGCATCACTTCACACAGATAGTGAAAAGCATTTAGGGATACAGTGAATCGTTTATGCTAGCAAAATTTCAAAGATTAACTCCTGGGTGGGAAACAACCTAAATCCCTGAAGCAATACCTAGTGCAAACTGATCCTGACTGAGACAGAATGACATGTAGGTGTTGAAACATGCATCTGTGTTGACCAATGAGCAGTTCCAGTGCCAGCTGTTATTAAGGACAGAATATGTACATTGAGGACGCATGCTGCCTCGGGACCAGGATGTTGGATTGCTCAGGTCAGAGAGTCCCATCCCGCATTGCTTTGCACTGGAGTCGACAAGCTGATTATTAAGTTTAGTGGTTGTCAAGCCCAAGAATTCGACCTTGAAATGTCAGCAAGCACAATGGTAGATTTTCCCGCAAGCAAAAAGACACGATTAAATGTGCATTCTTAGCTCTGTATAAATCAATACTAGGTTTTAAATAATGTGTGTGCCTCAGCATAGCTTAAAAAATAAGATCATCAAAGGAAATGAATCAATGAGCGAATGAGTGATGAAGAGATTTCTACAGTTTTTGCCATCTTGCTTTTAATTTTAATTTAATCCCAGCCCAGATTCAATGTGCATTTGTTTATCACCAAAGCCCCTTTTGGCAAGGATTTTATTTGTCCAAAAGTGTTTGTCAAAGATCCAAAAAAGGTATTTTTCCTCCGTCAGGAGAGAGATTTGATTCATTTTTCCATGCAACCGTGAGCCAGCCCGTCATCCTCATATACTCCGGTTAAACCGTGGATTGTGAAGGGTTTATGCAATCCAGTCTGCTTTGGAGCACTAACACTGAGATGAGCTGCTACATATTACAGCAGGAACAGATAGCGATGACAAGCACACGCACAACTCAGACAAATAAGCATGTAATGATGCACATAATGCAAACTCACACATTTAGTCTGTCACGTTTATAGACATATTTTAAAGAAAAAAAGACTTAAAGGGAACATATGATGCGATTTCAATTTTTCCTTTCTCTTTGGAGTGTTACAAGCTCTTGGTGCATAAAGAAGATCTGTAAAGTTGCAAAGACTAAAGTCTCAAATCCAAAGAGATATTCTTTATAAAAGTTAAGAGTCAACCACGCCTACCTAAAATGGCTCGTTCTAACACGCCCCCACATGTCTACGTCACGATGTGGGAAGATTTGCATAACGCCGCCCAAATGTTCACGCAAAGAAAGAAGGCGTAACTTTTATTCTCGCTGTAGTATTGTTGCTGCCGCCATGTCGTGAAGACGCGTGTGTGTTTGTGTTCTCTGTGTTTAATTGTGAAAGCAAAACTACTTTGTTTGGCCTTGCAAAATAGGATTATATCCACTTCGTCATGCCTAGAGCTGATGGAGTAGACTACAATGCCGGCTGTTCTGACTCACAAACTGTAAGTACTTTTTCATTTTAAGGATTTGCCACTGATGATTCAAATGAGAGTTTTGAGCAGTGTAGAGTAGCGCTTGTAGTTTGTCATTTCTCCGATCACAAATGCAGACATGGTTTTATGTTTACGTGGGCGCGATGCAGCGCAATGCGAAAAAAAGACGGTATAAGTCATTATAATCCGTAATTATGTCCCCACTGGATGCAACAAATGCCTCGTTTATAATGGATTTTACTGGTTTTGTCTCGTTGCAGCAGGACACGGCATCACAGTATGGTAAGGGGCGTAACATTTCCGTCACACCCTTGAGGTATTCGGCCAATCACAATGCACTGGATAGCTGGCCAATCAGAGCACACCTCGCTTTTCAGACCGATGAGCTTTGTAAAAATCGACGCGTTTCAAAAAGGCGGGGCATAGAGGAGAAACAATAACGTACAGTATGTGGAAAATAATGTGGTTTTTTTTACTTTAAACCGCATAAACACATTGCATTACACCAAATACACAAAATAACGTT